GGTTTGTTTTGAATTTTAATCTGATGATGGCGCTGTTGTCTCGCCGAAACGTAACGAAATAAACGATATACAAAAATGTTTTGTTTCACACTGTGACTGGAGCCCAGGAAAGAAAATAATATAATACCTAAAGAAGGTTGCCGGATGTTGTTTCCTATTCATTAGATAGACGCTTGAATAACTGATGTTCCTCTTGCTTTGTGAACATTGTCGCTTGTTGCCAAATAAGAAAAATAAGCGGCATTATCTGGACGCTTAATCCAGTAGCGTAATGCGATTTGCGTTTGCTGCCTTGTTAAGGTCCAGGATTGCGTGATCGGGCTGATGGAATTAAAACCCTGGAATCGATAGAACAATTCAGCACCAACACAAATAACCCGAATAAGACTTTGTGAAGTTCGGCAAAGTCAATTTGCTGGCCTTTAACCCACTTAAGAGTTGCACGATAACAACTAATTCCAATCAGGCCGTTATTCGGTTTTCTTCGGAATTTTCGCTTTTTTCGCGCCCCCTGGTTAAATGGTCGATAAACCGGTTAGCAAACATGTGCGAAGAAAAGCGTTCAATGAAATCGTTTTCCATCATCCGCACGGTATTTGCAATGTTGTTTTCAACTCAGTTTTCCCCTATTGTTTTATTGAAGATTAATCAGCACTGATCCAACAGTTTACAGCCAGTTGGTTGCAAAATACTCTCTAGTAAGTGACTCGTCGAAGTCTGTTTTATGCCAGTCGTAAAATGATGCTTCAGAGCCGAAACCTCATAAATCCCGAGCGGGAGTTGTTTGTCCATCTTTCCCGGGACTTATTCCCGTGTTATCCTGATCCTTTAAGAAGGCGGGTTATTTTTGCATGCGAATAGGATAAATGCCACAGTGTGAGCGATACAGACAGGCAATACATTGGCCAAATCCCCCGAGAAACATACACCATTCCAGGTTTTCTGGATAGGGAACGAGCACCTGTTCGTCGAGTGATGCGAAATGTGATCACTCACAGGTGGAAATTGTTGCTCATTTCTAAACACTTTGTGGTCTAATTTTGTTAAATGTGAAGTTCAAATGTGCGTACTAATTCAATAAACATTTGAAATCTTTGGGCGATAAAAAGTTCCCTAGGAACTGTGAAGGCCTTCACGGCCGGTCAAATCACATTTGGAGATGTTTTTCGGGCTTTGAAGCCGTGGTCCATGAGAATTTCTTCCTGACGTTTCGGCCACAACTGCGCTGGACATTATCAAAGGCGATGACGCAGTGGGCGAAGTGRTCTYCCGTCGSACAATATTTTTCGCAACAGTTAAGTCGTTGGRAGTGACTCTTTTGTAGACAAAGCGACACTGTAATGGAAAAGGAGAAAATGCATTTGGATTGAACCAATTGGAGGTTGATTGTTATTAGTTCAACTCTAMCATTTTTTAGTCAAAGMATACCTTGGTCGGCTTGCGCTTGCATTCAAATTGCGCGCAAAATCGTTTTTGTAAAAATTSAAACATCGAATGAGCAATCTTGTCCCATTTCAGACAATTGACGCTTGGACTACAGCCGGTAAAGCTGAGTGGAAGGTAGTTTCGATACGCTGCAGCCTCACCTAGTGGACTTTTACACATGGCTGTCAGACAGAGGTCAATGTTTTCTTCCATTTAATCGCATCAGTTTAGTAAGCGCGTCCAAAGTATTTTAGAAATTTCTCTGTGGCCTTCACCAGTCTTAGTCGGATAGCACGGGAGATCACTTCGCCCTTGATAATGTCTACCGCAGTTGTGGAAGAAACGTCAGGAAGAAATTCCCATGGACCACGGCTTCAAAGCCCGAAAAACATTTCTAAATATTCCCTAGGATATTTAAAAACCATTCTTCTTCTTTTGGAAAATTCAGTTATCTGTTGATTGAAGCTTGAAAGGGCGATTGAATTTGTATGGACAAACTAAAACATTTTTTAATGTATGACTGTTGCCAAATATATCAGGGGTTAGTGAGGATTTTCGCTACTCTTTGCCAGATTTCCACGAAAATATTCAGTTTCCTACGAAGAAAATCGAGAGGTTCGCTGAACAGTTGCGCGGCCCTTTATGCAATAATCTAGCTGTTAGTAAGAGTGTGGTAGCGGCGGCTCTGGTGTGAAATATGAACACAATTTTTAAATTTGTACAGTTAACCTAAGGGCGTATAGCGTTCAGCGTAATCGGGTTGCAGCTCCAAATGAGTTATTCATTTTAGATTTATGGCAACTTTCAGCCCGAATTTGCTCTAACACTATTTCATTCCAGCGCGTTTTCCCACCGTGCTCGTTCCGTCCTCATCATCATCGTCCAATTGCGAAGAACTGCAATTGAACAGAAAGTCGATGGCTTCGGAATTCGATGTGCCCCAAAATAAACCTCAGCTAACCAGAAAGGCAGGGCAGGTCGTCGATCAAATCTCGCAATCAAACTGCAACAAGATTAGGCTTGACGTGTTCGGAATGTTCCGGAAAGCCTTTGCCTCGATCACGCATAAGTGAGTGGAGAAAACGGATTTGTTAGTTTCGCTTTGGTGCACTGGATTGAAGCGAATCCGTTTAGCTTTTCGTACAAAACTGGTGACGAAGTTATCCAGAGCATCCACAGAGTCGCTGCCAACTAATGCGCTTTGTGCACTCTGCATTCGACACCTTAATTGCATGACGCGAAACAACCGTATTGAAAATTGCCACCAACCAAAACATGATTGTCTTCGTTGTTGAATTATTTATATTGAAAATTGTTTGACGTCGGGGTGCAGATTATTTGGCTAAAATCAGCACCGTTTGGGGGTGTGCGATTTTGAAAAATGGCCGGTGATAAATGTGCATACGGAAAGTTTACACGTCTAACGTATTCCCATTGTCGCGTTCCACTAATTAGATTTGCTGTGCCCAAGAAAACGCACTAATTTTCATTTCGATGCGTGTTTTTGCCGACTTTGCAGAGATTTTTGAATTGGCATTGGCCAAATCTCGGTTGTCCTAAACTTAGCATTTTGAAATGGCTCAAAATGGAGATCGGTGACAATTTTTCTATTTTTTCCAATTTATAGCGCGCACTTTTCCTTATATTGGTGGAAAGTCTCAATGCGACCGGTGCTTTTGCTATTTTTCCAGGAATTTTCGAATATGGAGTTCCGCTTGTGTGCGTGATTCACTCTCCTAAACTTAGCACTTTGTGTATT